GTCGCATTTACTATCACAATGGAACCATCCTCTCTGCCGACCACTAAACGGTTAGCAGCCAATAGATAGATGGATGCTGTTAACTTTATTTCTGAAAACAAAATTACGAGTACATGTTAAAAAAGTAAGGTTTAAACAAAAGTATATAGTTTTCATAATTCAAAATGGTTTAAAAGCCATAGTTTATAGTTAGAGATACAAAAATATAGAGGAGGCATGGTTGCAACTTCACTTGATACTTTTTCACATAATTTCAGTAACGCTATATAAAAATTATATTTAAATTAATTACCTATAGGTGTCATTAAATAACGTTTAAATGTTTAAATTTTGTAACAGTAATTAGTTTATTTTATAACTAGCTATTCCCGTGCGACTTCATCCGCATGTAATTATGAAAATTTTATTTTATTGTTTACATTTGTCAAATTAACATGACAAAATGTCAAAATGACATGACATTACAAACCTTAGCATTTTTTTTTCTTGATGTTGGCAGCAACTTATGGTCTCTTTCCCACATTAAAGTTTTTATCTAAAATATTTACCCCCTAAGTTTAACGGCGTGAAAATATATAGCCTAAGCCGTGACGTCAGTGTAGGGCTTTTTATTAAAAAAAGAATTATTCAAAAATATGCTGTAAATGCTGACATCTTAGGCAACAAAGAAGTGTGAAAGGTGGAGCTTATTATAATTTTGTAAAATGTTTCATTACAAGGAAATGAGGTGAAACTAAACTTGACAACCGATATAGTAGCTTTCAGAGAAAGTACCGATGAAAAAATATGTCTCGTCCATATATGTTTTCAATATCTATGTTCATAGTATATCATACCTTGTTCATCTGGATGACTCAATTGGTCCAATATACCGACAGGGCTTGGGTTCATCTCCTCCCAGGCCATATCTAAACTTGTCATTACAATTGGGGCATGCGCTGAAATTCAAACAGATAATATAAACAACAATATTTTAAGGTACTATGAATGGAAACGATTTCACGCATAATTCAAACGAGTTCTCTCTTTACCCACTCATCAAGAACACTCACAAGGTAACTGGTTGAGGACTGGCGTGACAGCCTGGTCTACATTCCATAGTGATACAACTCCAGCGGAGTCACCACGGAGCAGCAGCCTTCGTTGTTTTCCACCCACTGATGTCG